GAGTATAAAAGAAGAGGCTGCTGCCCTGGGAGTCTCCACTCCTCCAGTGGCCACCTCTGCAGTGTCTCCCTCAGACCAGGTACGTACTGCCTGCCATCTTTTGTCAGGCTTGCAGCTTATTCGTATTTTTGCCAGCCTTTTACCAAAGTGCTGGAAACCTTGGCTTAAAGAGTGAGAGATTGTCTCTCTTGGGATCAGGGTGTTGTACATTTTGTTTCAACCCACTGACCTAACGTTCAGGTGATTCACAGCTTCCCTAGGGAATGGAGGTCCTGGGGGAGGGGGTGCCTGTTTGGATTCATGGTGGGCGTTTTAGCACCTTCCTGTTGGCTGTCGTATTTTTCACTGATGAGGCCTCCTCCTTAAGTAGTCATTATCCAAACATATTAGCCGTCTCATTGTGATACTCAAAAATGCCTCATGCCTGACTTCCTATAGCTTAATGTCTCCTTTGCCTTTTAAGATGATGTTCTGTGTTATTATTTGGAGAGAAAAGTAACCTTTCCTCTCAGTGTTCAGAAAAGGAAAAGTGAACACCATCTGTTCCCAGGTTCGAAGGGTTAAAGAACACCTTGCTCTGAAGAAGTCACCTTCCTGTCCTCTGGGAACTTGATGGATGTGAAGGATGGTACCCCCCCTCTGGTGGCATCCAGGCATCTAGACACTCCTGGGTCTCCTTCTCGGCTGCTCCAGAATTGGCTATCTTGAGGCCACCTACCCCCAAAATTGCAGAATGGGTGTGTTCTCATCTTATCTGCGAGATGAGATCACTGTCATGTTCCATGGTGCCGTTCTGTGATTCTTTTCATCCCAATTTCTTCGGGTGCCTGCTACGCTCCTCCACAATGGAACTTTTCAAAATGAGCACAAGATCCGTGTTGTTTAGAAAGCGGAATTGAGAGTTAATTTTTCAGAGCCTGGTAGTTTTATCTCCAAGGTGTGCTGTGGTCCCCTGGGGAGTATGCCTTACTGGTCTTTACACTCCCCGTGCCTTTGTAGAGGAGGTAATAGATGACTTCGCAGATTACAGCTTCATTTCTTTGTTTTAGATTATAGGCTTGGTTAAGTAGTAAAGCAGCTTTCCTTAACAAAGACTCAAAGCCCTGTTTGCAGTTTATGGGGTTAACACTTAAGACAATGGTCCTTAGCCTTTTGGCATCTCAGAAGCCCTTCGAAAAAGTAATGAAACCTGGATACTCTGCTTAGAACCCCATTTATACCAACGTGCATGCTAAAAGTGATGTAATTCCAGAGGTTCCAAACTCTGGGTTAAAAACCTCTCACGGTAAACTTAATTCTAAAAGTTAGTTAACATGTCCTGATCGGTTTGGCTCAGTGGATAGAACATTGGCCTGTGGACTGAAGGGTCCCAGGTTCGAGTGTGGTCAAGGGCATGTACCTTGACTGTGGGCACATCCCCTGTAGCGGGTGTGCAGGAGGCAGCTGATTGATTTTTCTCTCTCATCGATGTTTCTAACTCTCTATCCCTCTCCCTTCCTCTCTATAAAAAAATCAATAAAATATATTTAAAAGTTAGTTAACAAAGAAATAAAGGAGGATATTGAGTAGATGGGAGAAACGGTGGCAAATAGGTGGGTGCAGGAAATGAGAGAAATGGCAGCTCTGTTCTCCTTGTCTCTGACCATTCCTGATGCACTCACTCAGAAAGTTGCATCAGAAACACACACACACACACACACACACACACACGCTTTATAGTGTGGGAATTCCCATGCAGTGAGTAGCTGCCTTTCTCACTCGCGTTTAGTTCCCACGTGCCTCTTCTTAAATGGGATTCTGATATTTAAAGATACCTGTTTTCTTCCCTATAACACAGACCCTAAGTGCAGGCCCGGTGTGTCTGGTTGATCTCCTACAGTGACCTGCTCCATCTCAGGGAAGATCGGCTGTCCGGGAATCACCCAGTCATTGTACCTGGCACTTTGCCTAGGAATTTTTACGGGTATTTCCATCTGTACTTGATTTTGGTCCTACTCACAGACTAGAACTTTACTAATAATGTTGATGAAATGATGA